TCCTTTACTATAATCTATTATGTTTTATTTTTACAGTATGTTTTATTTCTCAAACATTTTTGACTATAGAACTTAATTCTGTGAGTTAACTTGCCAAATTAATGCCCCTTGTAGGTGCCTTAAGGAAATGCTGGCCTAAAGTCCTTCCTGTGAGAGATATATACATTTTCAAGAAATTAAGGAGGCCATAGTGATGTCTTTGGTCTAGTCCTTCCCCAGGTGAAAGGCCTGGAACAGATTAGGGTAACTGGCATAGAGTGAGGGATGGGCCTCTTAAAGCCACCCACCAGCGCACTTCTCTCTCAAAACCCGGTCCTGGGGGTGCCTTGTGTGTGTGCTGGGCTGCTTCCCATGCCCCTTCCTTGGGGTTGGGGTGGGGAGTGGGTATAGGATGGGGTGGAGGGGACATCCTTACTTTACAATTTTAAATTATGAGACAATTAGGCATATAGAAAACTACAGAAACAAATACAATACACGTTTGTGTTACTACACCATGACTTTTTGCCACATTTGCTTCCTCCTTGTTCCTTTTTTAAAGGGAAAAAGTGCAAGGCTGAAGCTCAACCCTGTCTCTTCCCTCTTTCCCCTCTCTTCACCAGTGTCATTTATTTCCTTTCAGTGCTTGTTTTTGTACTTTTATTATATATGTGCATTCATTAACAGTATATACTACTATTTTCTGTATAGTTCAACTTTTTACTAATGCTATCACAGTGCATTAATCATTTGTTGCTTTCTTTTTTAATTCAACATTATATTTTTTATATTTGAACCATTTTGATATATGTGGGTCCTACCACTTCCTTTTTTTTTTTGAGCCAAGATATAGAATTCTATTGTGTGACTATAGCAAAATCTCTTTTTTCTATTCCCTGCTGTTAAAGTTAGACTGTATCCTCTTTCTGGTTGTTGTAAATAGTACTGCATCGATTATCCTTCCTGGGACACATGGGAGTATTCTGTGGGTATGTATTTACAAGAGAAATTACTGGGTCACAGGGTCAGTGCACCTTTAAATTTAGTGGGGGACCTGCTTTCTAGAACTTCTTCAGAAAGAAAAAGAGGAAGAAGATAAACCTTGACCATCCCTTCATATCTGAAGTTTGAGCAGAGTTCAGGATGAGGTCAAATGAAAAAGGGGGCCCAGAATTCTGCACATATGTCAATGGTAAAGAGATGTGAAAGTTAATACTCATGTCCTTGTTAGAGTAGTTGCCTAACATAAATTCTTAGGGTAAACATATCATTTTTAGCTATACTTTCCCTCTCCAATAATGTTTGAAAGCATTCATATTTCTTTGAAAATCAGAATAAAATTTTCATTACTGTGTATGCTCATACTCTAAGATCTTCCTTATTTAGAAGTTAAGAGAAATAAATTCTTGTTTTTCTTGTTTTTGAATAACAGAAAAGCTCTGATCCAAGGCATTTGCTGGCGATTTCCATTTGGTGTATTTTTATGATACTCTTTTTATTCAAATGGTGATGAAGGTCCAGAGCATTTTCCGGATGATAATGGCGTAGAGGGCTAGCAGTTACTGGCTGAGGGCTCTGGGCTGCTGCTCAGTGTGAGGTTCAGGGTTTTCAGCTGGTGGAGGAAGCCAAACATATGTGTTTCAAAGACTTTGATGGTACACGTGATTTCAATTTCATAATGTTTTCCTTCATTAAAGTTTTATACAATAATAATTTGATTTAATAATCCATTGAACAACACCCATTCACTCAACCAATATTTGTTGACAGGCAGGGGACATACTAGTGGGGGTGGGAGCTTACAGTGTAGTGATGAGGACAGACACTAAACATAGGGATGCGTAATTAAAGGATTCACTAACTATAACAAAATCAGACCATCTCTCCTATGGTAAAATAATACCAGAAAGGCACAAGAATGATGATGGTTGAGGCTGTGCTCTGTGGACTGGTCAGGGGCGGCGGCATCTGAGCTGGAAGTGCTGTGTGTCTCCAGCCCTCAGCCCTTCGTCCCTGGCACTCAGTAACCCCAGGTGAAATTTCTCTTGTAGCCAACAGTCTAGTCATCTTATTTACCCTGAATATGGTTGAGAACTAAGAGATAAAAAAGACTCAAGAGCCAGAATTAATTTCACAGAACATGAGGCATTCAAAGCTCATGTGCCTCCCTCATGGACCAGTCCCATGGCCTTCATGTGTGAACAGCGTAATGGCTTTCTCCATCCCCAGAAGATTCCACCGAGGATCGAGGTCAGAGTGGTGAGCAGTGGCGTAGTACCTTGGTGGCATGTGTGGGGATGGCAGAGTGGGACCAGGGGTGGCTCTGGGGCTGGTGCGGGTGGCTTTCAGCAGCGAGCTCTGGGGCTTCAGTGTATTATGACTCAACCTGTCGATTTATGTTTCATAATAATGACTGTTTGGTTTAAGATGTCAGAAAAGCATGTAATAGATCTTTGAAAGCCCTGAATCTAAATTGATTAAAGCAAAGACAATATTGATCATTTAAGAATTAAACTTTAGTTCCAGACAACTGAGATTTTATATTTAGAAACTGGTTTTTTAAAGTTGCACTTAGGAAATAATTGATATTTTAGAGGTGGCACTACAACTTGGAGTTTAATAAGGAATAATAGCACCTGTGTAGATTCCAGGTAGGATTATTGTATTGCTGGCTATAACATGAATGTGAATTAGTAGAGAAGGTAGCCCCGTTTTACACATGGAGATGTAAGACAGGTATCATATTCACATCTGAGGTACAGTAGGACTTGGATTTAGATTTCATAGATTTCCGACCCAGAGATTCTTTAGCTAAACTGGAGTTCAGTAATCTCCATTCTGGGGTGGCTGCTGGGTGAGGACAGTAGACCAGATGCAGTTGGCTATCACCAGACCCCAGTTCTAGCTGAGAACCTAGTTGTACTGAGTTAGTGTTACCTCATCCCAGGCTCATAGAGGGTAAGATGCTAGTTTGGTTAGTACCAGGTGAATTAAACCGTGTGTCTAAGAAGATAGCAAAAAGGGTTTTAATTGTGGAAGACAGTAATGCAATCTCCTAAGCAGATGTGTTTGATAGTTTCCGCTCTCAAATTTGCTGTGTTCTGCAGATTGTGAGTTTGGTTCCACTGAAGATCTGCATATGCTCCCTCCCACCCACCCTGCTTGCCTCTCCTACACCCCGACTGGCCCCCAAATTTTTCAGAGCTGGAATAGATAGTAAAAGATTCTGATAAGTCATGGTTGCTCTGGTATTAGCAGACTCCTGCAATATGTCTTGTTGTCTTGCTTAGAAAATAGAGCCCCCCTTCCCAAGCAACACTTCCATATTGTGTGCAAGGGTTTCTGTAAACCAGAAAGTCAACATTTTAAAGTGCAATTCATTGGGGAGTTGCTGGCTGTGTTGACTGAGCTTTGCAGTCATTTTAACACTGGCAAAAGTGTTACCCTAACTGCTTCAAATCAAACTGTAAAGATGCTTGTGTGAAATATAGTATTAGATATCAAATCAAACATATGGGTGTTGAATGGAAGGATATGTTTGTGGTAGTATATGGTATTCTAGCATGTGGAGTTGTATTTTATGGAAATTCTTTGGCTTGGCTTATGGCAAGGACATACATTCATTATGAGATATCAAGATGTAAAATAAATAAAAGCAAAGAATTCAACTGGGCTGTTAAATGATTTTCAATACAAACTTGTCTGCTCTGCTAACTTAGGGTCTGACGAGAGGCACTTGTGACCCATTTTGGCCAAATGTTTTGTGATCATTGCTGACAGGTCTTGGAAATAATATAGATCAGGTCAAAAGGAAAACGAACTAGCTGTTTGCATTTTTTCCTTTCACTTATTTGTATGTGTGTAATTTCTATGCTAATTAGTCTTAGAGACAGAGGGTTTAATTTTTTCCTTCTTTAAACCATTACTTCTTTTTCCTCATTTCAACATTTTATAGTGAATTAATTTTTAAAGTGTGTATCTGGAATTGATCACTGAATTCTTAAATGTGTGGGCTTCATGGGGCTCAAGTTCTTGGAGTTCTCAAGTGGACCATATTGTGGTATTAACAGAGTGACTTCACATTGTCATCTCTGGAGTGCTTTTTGTCATCCAAATATTTTGTTTTTCTTTTCCTCTCTGGCTTTCTCAGGAAAAAAGGCAGTAAATTTCTCATTTGCAAAAAACATTTAAAAATTGCCTTAGTGGTGACTTTATTTCATGAAGGAAGGACTCTCCTTTGAACAATGATTTCAAGGATTTTTTTGGCTCATGTAAACTAGAGGTGAAGGATTCATTTGGGCCATTTTGTCTGCACCTCTGACTTTGCTTTACATCATTACCTGTTCTTACCAACTAGGAAAATACTATCCTTGTATTGTATATGAACAGCTTTCTTTGAAAAAACTCATGTTGTTAGTTATATTGTTTGATACACATACTATTTTTGTCTCAAACAGTTTCATTTGATGGTAAAGCAATGTAGTTTCTTCTTAGCAAAAATAGCAAGTGGAATGCTAATGTAACTGGTACAGTATCTGTTACAAATATAATTGGAAAGTTCTCACCTTAGTCACAGCAAACATGCTCTTTATACATGTACCCAAAACACAATCATCCTATAAAATATTAGTTAAGTGACCTTGGGCTGTTGGAGTTCTTTTTTATTTTCAGAGTTGTCTGAGAATGGATTAACATAATGCTGCTTTGACTTTCTTAGCAGAGGATATTTTTTAATGCCAGTATTAGGAGCTCCCCCCACCCCACTGTATTTTTATGAAGTTATCAGTATCTGATATCTGATAAAATAATTATTTTTTAAAGCCAGGTCAAATTGTTAATGTTACTGACAGCATGTGAATAGAAGGCAACATGCCTATTTGTCTAATGGGTTAGACCATTAAAAAACTGAATTCATTTGCCAAGTAAAGAACCCACTTCATGTTGCTGAGTTGAAACCATATTTGATTTCATGAATTGCACATTTTGACTTGCTTGCTTGCTTTGCTTGACTTTCTTGACAGATGCCACCTCAGTATGGCCAGCAAGGTGTGAGTGGTTACTGCCAGCAGGGCCAGCAGCCTTACTACAACCAGCAGCCGCAGCCTCCGCACCTCCCTCCGCAGGCACAGTATCTGCCCTCTCAGTCCCAGCAGAGGTACCAGCCGCAGCAGGTGAGCGCAGCGCCCGGTCCCCAGGCCTCTGTTCTGTCCTTGAGGTCTGTGTTCAGAGGCCACACCAGGCTCTGAGACATCTTCCTGTCCCGTTTAAAAAATTCTGTTCTCAGTGGGAAAAAATGTAGTTTTGAGAAAATGTAAAACTATAACCTAATCCAAACTGTTCGTTTGTTTACGGATGGATGTTTGAGATTGAAAGGTGGGAAGAATGACTGCTTTAATAGCTTCTTAACATTCCTGGTTAGTGACAGCAGAAAATGTTTGTTACTTTGTGTTCTCTGTCATTTGTATTCTGAATCTTTCAGGAAAGTGCTCTGTCACTTTGTTGAGGCTTATTCAGGAAAATTTATCAATCATTAATCTTGCTAGTTGGCATATGCATGGTATTATCTTGAGCCTTTTTTGGTTTTCTTTTATTGGTAAGTGCTACTACATTAAAACATTGTTGCCTTTGGCAGTGTTATTCTTTAAACTAGTTTATAAATAGATACTTCAATTACAATATATTAAAATACTAAAGGGAATCATGTATTTTAAGTATATTAAGCAGTTCTAGTTTAAATTAGCTTCATTAAATGCTCTTTGGTTGTTGGACTGTGTATTTCAGCTTAACATGATTTGTAGAAAAACAGTACATAAGTGTTTGGTAAAATGATTCAGTTTCATCTTGTTTTAGATACTGTCATTGAGTGATATTAAAAGGTGTGAGCTAGGAGTTACTATTCTGAATGCAAATAAAACTTTCACAGCACATCCAGTCATAAGCATCAAAACATAACTTTCCATTTTATGTTTTCCTCTTTTTTCTTTTGTGAATTGGGCTTGGTAAAGAGAGGGGAAGACAATGATGCTATTTAGTTTTTAAAGTACTTGTATATGTTGAAAAGGTTGTTGATGCTAAGCAAAAATATAAATATATGAAGTTTACTTTTAATCAGTTCAGCTGATTTCTTATGTATTTTGTTGGGTTCGTTTGAGTCTTTTCCCATGTGACTTATTTAAGAGCTCTAAGGAGAGTTTATAACTTTAAACAAAATATTAAAAACAGCGGCTGAGATTGAAGATCCTATGGAATCTTGTTTTTGGCATGTGTTTTTACATTTTTGGTATTATATAAAGGATTTTTAGAGGTAGGAATGTACATTATTTCAGAGTTACTTGGTCTAGTCTGTTATTAAAATTAAATAACCTTTCAATATATTTTTAAGTGAGAGAGACTGGTATGTGGGTTTTAAAGTTAAAGGCTTTTTCAAGGTTTTTCAGAGGCTTATTGAACTTCTCAGTAGACTTAGAATGTTTCATCATGTCATCAAAATTTAAGAAGGACTCAAATAGGGAGATTGCATTACTCATTTTACTTCAGTGTGCTAAAATGAATCTGATTGTAAAACCTATTTGATTGAAGATTCTGAGTGTTTGTCATTTCCTTTAAGACCAAGCTGAAAAAATGTACTTCCTTTATGAAGCATTTGCTGATGATTTCTACCACATGGCAATTAGTTATTTAATATCCTTCATATTTAAATATTTAAAGCATACTGCAGGTAAAATCTTATGTTAATGAATAACATTTTAATCTGCTTAGTTTAGTCCTGTTTTATGCTTTGATTGATACTACCATTATTTTATTGATTTGAGTACAATACAGTATATGTCCAGAAGTACTATACATATAACTATGACTTTTAATGTAAATACTGTCACTTTTGTATATTCTGAGGAGCTCCAAAATTCCTCAAAGTATGTTGTAAATTTTTTCTTGTTTTCATACTCCTTAACTATAGAAATTCTAAGTATTTTTTAAAATTTATTAAGCTTCTTATGGAACAAAGGGGTGGAAGTTGGAGACATGGAGGTGTAGGTAGTCTAATCAGAACATCTGGTTAGGAACAGTTTTGATTTTTAGGGAGTTAGATACTCAGATAGATTTGGAAAGTTTCTCTAGGAAATGAGCTAGTATTTTAGATACAGTTACTAACACCTCCAAAAACAGAGTAATCTCCCCAAATCTATCCCAAAGAAAAGCAAAAATAACCAATAGAGTAGTTACAAAATTAAGCTAAATTTTTAATGTAAAACTGTACAAAAACACTGTAATAGTGAATTCACATATGTTTAAAAACAAAATAAACTCAACTATATTTAATGTAATAAGCCACTGTTTTACAACAGACAAAACATTCCTTTTTGCAGCCTTTCCTTTTGTTCCTGAACATAACATACGTAGTCTATTGATTTTTTTATATTAGGGACTCGATCAGCAAATAATGCATTTTTTTTATTGGAATAAAGTTATACAATGTTATATTGGTTTCTGATATACAACATAGTGACTTGATATTTATACATATATATATATCACTAGATGCTTGCCACAGTAAGGGTAGTTACCCCTTTGTTACCATACCAAGATATTACAATATTATTGGTTATAGTCTCTATGTCATACTTCCAGTGACTAATTTACTTTACAATTTGCAATTTGTACCTTTTATCCCCTTCACCTGTTTCACTCACCTCCCCCCCCCTCCCCCCACTTCTCTCCCTCCCTTTGGTAGCCAACAGTCTGTTGTCAATATTTATTGGCATATTTCTTGTTTTTTGTTTTGTTTTTAGATTCCATAAATAAGTGAAATCATATGATATTTGTGTTTCTCTGTTTGGTTTATTTCACTTAGCACATACCCTCTGAGTCCATCATGTTGTTGCAAATAGCAAGATTTACTTCTTTTTTACGGCTAAATAATATTGCATGGTGTATATGTTTCACAACTTCCTTATCTGTTCATCCATCTGAGCACTTGGGTTGCTTCCATTTCTTGGCTATTGTAAGTAATGCTGCAGTGAACATAAGTGTACATAGCAAATATTTTGTGTCTTTTGTTAATGTGATTGATGCAGAAAGGAATTTTGGGGTTCCATTAAGAAACCTTACTTTGTATATTTAACTTTGTTAATGGGCAATGCTTTGAATAATCAATATAATCATGCTTCAAAAATTAAAAAGTACAAGGAAAGGATATAGATAAATCTTCCACCACATTTCCTCCCACCTGGTTTACCACCCACCTCACCCTTTGCCAGATAACTACCTTATTAGTTTATTGTATGTCTTTCTGAAGTTTCTTTGTATAAAGAAGCAAAATACCACGTTTTATTTTTTACACAAGTGGTGGCATACTCTATATACTATATACGTTCTTCTGTTCTTTGTCATTTCCCCTCCCGCACCCACTTAAATATATTTTCTGCAGTTCTTTCCAGAGGAGTACATAAAGCAATCCTTTATTATTTTTTATAGCTTTATCCTATTTTGTAGACATACAATTATTTATTTAACCAGTTCTCTTTTGATGGGCATTTTAGATCATTTTTAGTTATTTGAAAGTCAAACAATACTTCCATGCTAAAACTTTGTATTTTGTGTCACTTCATAAATGTTTGGTGTATCTGTAGGATGGGTTCCTGTATGCAACACTATTGTGTTGCTGTGTTGTGTGACAGTGGGTGTATGGGTGTATGCAGTTAACGGTTTTGGTAAATACTGCTAGATAGTTCCTCCTGGGGGTTGTACCAATTTATACTTGCACCATAGATGTTTCAGAGTACTTGTTTCCTTACACATGTGCCAATAGCATGGTTTTACGGAGCCTCAGGATTTTTGCCAATCTGCTAACGTAGTTTTAATTTCCATTTATCTTGTTAGGAGTGATGTTGAGTGTCACATATTTAAAACAATTTGTGTTTCCTTTTTTTCTTCCCCTGGACTGTGAATTCATATCTTTTTGTCTTGAATTTTTCTATTCAGTTGTTTGTATTTTAAAAATTGATTTACAAACACTCTATATATTAAGAAGACTGGTCCTTTGTTTATGGTATGAGTTACTAAACCCCCCCCCCATTTTGTAATTAATCTTTTGACATTAATTATGGTATTACTTTTTCTTCTTTTTTTTGAAAGGCAGAGGAGCTTTTAAAATTAAAAAATATTAGGTAGTCAAAATTATCATTCTTTTATGATTTCTGGATTTTATTTTAGTGGTAGTATAAGTCTTCTATACTCCAAGGTTACAAAGAAACTCTTCCATATTACTGTGTAATATTTTCAGAGGTACATTTCCAAATTTTACTTATTTTACTCTATGGAGAGAGGTATGATCCAGCCTTTTTTTTTTAAGTGGCTACTTGGTAGTTTAAGCACCTTTTCTTCTGTAGGCTATTACATTAAGCCTTTCCAGAGAAACAGAATATGTATATTTGTACATATGCATGTCCTGTTGGTTAGTATAAAGAGATTTATTGTAAGGTGTTGGCTCACACATTCATGGAGACTGTCCAGTTCAGAATCTGCAGTGTGGGCCGGCTGGCTGGAGACCCGGGAGGGCCAGTGTTAACAGTTGTCCACAGCTAGCGAGTTGCAGACTCAGGAAGCCCAGAGGTGAAGGTGAAGGCCAAAGGCTGTCTGCTGAATTCCCTGTGCGTGGGGATGCAGGTATTTGTTCTCTCGGGCCTTCAGTTCATTGGATGAGAACTACCCATACTATGGAAGGCAGTCTACTTAAAGTCACTGATTAAATGTTAATTTCACCCATAAACAGTCTGCCAAGTTGACACATAAAATTAACCATTAGGTTTGTCTTTCTCTAATTGATTGGAGCTACCACTTTTATTATTTGCTGAATTCCCTTAGGTACAGTGTTTGTAGTTATTCTGGGATTTTTTATTCTTTCCCATGGGTCCTATTAATGCATGAGTAGTACATTTTTATTACTTTTTAGTATCTCGTAGGGTAAGTACATCTTCATTACTTTTCTTTTTCAGAGTTTTCTTGGCTATTTGTATTGTTTATTTTTTAAATTTCTTACCATGCTTTTTCCTTAGGAGTTTTGTCTTTTTTGTTGTTCTTATAATAGACTCTTTTTTTAAAAATACCTTTCTCCTTTTCTATGAAACTGATATTTATAAAAGAGTAACAGTAGAACAAAAGGAAGTACTTC